TTTTGGGCTTTAAAGTTTCATCCCCTCGCCTCTGTCTGCTCCTGGGTCCTCAACGCTAACCCACACATGGTCTGCCTCGGCGGCCTGTGACATGAACGGATGTAAAACACTTCATGGAGATCCAGTGGATGGTTTTAAATCGAAGGAATCAAGTTAATAGAGCTTTATTTCACTGACAGGAATTCAAATCAGCAGCCAAATCCAGCGTACCGCAATCATTTAGTTCTTTTTGTTTCTTTCAGGGCTGGTGAAAATCAAAGAAGCGACCGACATCGAGGAGAAGTTAAACGAAGTGGAAAGGCTACTGAAGAATGCAATCAACATGCCATGCAAGGTTGGTATTTCATCTGATGGCATGTCATATAGACTTATAAAAGCTTCTTACATGAGAACATCAGCTCTGTACTCAAAAACCTCTTTCTTTAGTATTCCAGATCAGAGGTGATGCTGACTTTCTTTGAGCGGTCGCCCCTGGATCAGGTGCTAAGGAACGACAAAGTCCACAGAATCCAGCCATGCTTTGACAGTCCAATCAAGATATCAGGTTCATATACTTATTTAATGTGAATATAACTACATTTCAGTTATTTTTCATGATTTCTTTAAGGATGATGTAATATTCCCCTCTGCATTTTCCAGAAATCATGCGGTCCAATGGATTTTGTCTGGCCAACACAGAAACCATCGTGTTCGATAACAGTATCCCCGAAGAAAAAGAGAGACCTTCATCGACCGACTCTGTAGAACATACGTGAGTATAAGGATCGCTCAGTCATTATTATATCTGCCTTTGCATATGTTACTGAGCAAGAAAGCTATGTTTAAAATCACATTAAGGACCAGAGTGAGTTTAACACAGTTGTAGGTTTGAAGGCCACTTCAGAGTAAGAAACTACCTACTTGCCTTCTCACAAGGAGGAGAGGATTTCCATGCTTGCCTTTGAGTGTATACAATAAATGCTTTGGTGAGTAAAGAGGTCCTAGAATGTGAACCTACCCCAGGACCCTCCACCCGCTTCACATAGCACAGGAAGTGTGTCTGTGCAGCTCTTCCTTCCCTGGGTGTGTGTAGAAAGCAAAAGAGGAACACATTCCTCTCGGTACTTAACAGAAACACAAAAACAATGTAAATCACCCATAAATGGCAGCACGGCTTTAAAGTTTTGTCAGTGTTTTGATGTAGACACTTACATCACACCTTTGATTCCTGGGGTAAACTGCACAGGCCTGGGTTAACCCAGTATGTCTTTCATTTTATTGCCAGGTATGAAGATGGAACAGAGTTTTTGCCATTGGAAACAGATGTGTGTGATGAAGAAACAGAAGCATATGTCACCAACCTCTCCTACTACCATCTGGTCCCATTTGAAACAGACATCCTGGAATGAGCATTGATCTACCAGATGCTTGTCGATGATGGCTTGTCACGCTGTAATATGTAGTCCTCAGTGGAACTCAACTATGCAATGCTGCACACCACGTAGCTGCTGCTTATTCCAGCGACTTTAAGAACTTTTTAAATAAGCATTGGTCATTTTGGAGTTGGCTGGGTGTACAGTTTGCACAGTAGTATTAGAGGAGCGCTACAGCAGCACGCCTTTGTTTTCATCCACTTTATGTGACATCACCGATGTGCCTCATCCAGACCCTTACTTTTTTTTCCACTTCAAAAGGCTTTCAGATGATGTACCTGAGGCAGCCACACAGTATAGATCCTCAGTGACACTTTTAACGTGCTGTTTGGCAACTTAAAAGAACTAAAATCTGTAGGTTGGGGTGTGATTGTAGTGGCGACTATGCAACAGTGGAAATTGGGAAGCAAAAGTAATTTATGGAAACATTCATGATTTTCTCTCATGGACCTAAGAGATGGATCTTTAAGGTTTATCGTGTTCTCTGATTCCTGAAGTGATGCCACTTAGGAAAAAAGACAAAAACAAAAAACTGTTAAGGAGATTTTTATAGGATTTTTTTTTTTTTTGTGGTGCAGTTTCCACCTGCATTAAGCAAGATGTTCTGGTTTTTGTAAAAGCTTAAAACTCACAGGAAAACTCTGATTTTGTTGCTGTGTCGTGCAGCAGGATCTTTGGTATGAGAGTACACTGAAAGCTGAATGAAACTAGAAAACATGGGCTCTGATGATAGACACTTGTGGAATTTAGCTAGTCTTGGAGATGTTACCTGTGACAAATTGTTGCAATTGCTAAATTAAAGGCACTGAAGTGTGCGCAGTGCTTTTTGAGTCCTATTTGACCAGTCAAAGCAAACACCAGTCCACAAACTGGGTGGCAAGGTTTTCAATTTTGCATCTGTCCCAGGACTGAACCACAGAGGTTTTGATTATGATGGTGAATTGAGCAAGAATTATGTTATCTTATCCTCCAGCAGCATAAACATCAGCAGGAGATTCCTTTTCATGTTTCAGTTGGGCCTTGGACTGCTGTCAGTTAAAATAATATAAAGAAAATACAAAGTTTGGTTGTTATGTTGTTGCTTTGTGTTCAGATAAATGCTGCCGAGTTTGATGTTGATGAGACGTTTTTTGTATTCGTTTTGTCTGAATTATGAATTGTGATGTTAAACATGTAGCTTCATAATAATGCTCTTTTTTTTTTTTTTTGTCCATAAAGGAATAATTTGGTGTCAAGAGTGAGTGTAGCCTGTGGAAAACAGAATCATGTCACTGCTGCTGTTGTTGTTTTCTGATGAGTGATAAAATGGGGCAAAGAAAGCTTTGTTTAAAGGCTCCATTGAGGTCACTTTTGTAAGATGACATGAGTGGGTTCAGTCAGACAGCTGAGTGTGGGAGTCTACAGAACAAGTCCTCTCTTTATGTAAAGAAGACAAACAACTTTGCTGTACTACAAGTTTCTATAGGAAAAGTTGTGAAGAAAGGCAAACAATTGGTTAAAATTCATGCCTTTGTATGTTTGTACTATAAGGAGGGCACTTTTACTTCTGAAACTGAGAACTCAGTGGTGCATTGCAGATGCTTTGAATGTGACCCAAATGCTAAAAATGTATATTTGTGTTGTGTTAGCTGTCTTTGCTTCAGCGGTTTTGTCACCGCGGGAGTCACCGTGGCCTTACAATGTAACTTAACAGCTTGTGTCCAGGTTCCTGCCCTTCCAAATACAAAGGCATTCAGCCCTCCACAAACTTGGCACATGAGCCGTCAGCATGGCGATCCTCCACATGAATCTGTTTAGTAACACAGTCATGATCACTATTCACCCCGTGAGAAAGTACAGCTCTTTCACAGGATACAAAAGTATTTCATGCTTTCTCTTCTTGTTTTTTGAACAAGAATGACATGCTGATTTTGTATATAAGCATTTCTGTCTAAGGTGCGAAAAAAAAACTGGAATTTCCCACTAAAATTTCTGGACCAAGATTTTGTTCTACATGAAATTGCTGATATTGATGAACGAGCATAGGCGTTCATATTTAATAATGAAAAATCCAGCAAGACCTCTGCCTTCTTTACGACTCTTTTGCAAGCTTATGGCATTCAGTTTATTTTGAATATGAAGTTCTGAAATGGTACTCAACGCATTCAATGCAATGAGGAAAAACACAACACAACGCTGGTACTCCAGTGCCAGTGAAACTCTGAAACAAAGCTACATGCCTGGTGTGCCAGCCAGAGGTTTGAAGAGAGACAAGTGAAGACAATAGGAAAATAAAGTTACACAAAATATTCTTATTTATTTTGTAAATTTCAGCCACATTCTGTGAAGCTAACCATTCTATGCCTTGTAATGTATTGTATATTTACTTGTGTGCGTCATACGTGAGATGAACCTTTGGTTTGTAAAAATGAATCTTAATTATAAACTTCTAAGATGAAGTTTATGTGCAAACATGTTTGATAACCTTAAAGATATTCAGTATTGGTTACAAATTATTATTCAAAAAACCTTCTCAAAACAAATAAATGTTTTCAATAAAACATATGGTCCTGTGATGTCTTTTGTGCACAAAGTGATTGGACCTTAGGGTCATAGAACGGCAGATGTAGACTGTGGGTAACTTGAGAAGCAAGGTGGCTACAATCATTAGTGTTGGATATGAGATTCAGAGGCATTCAGTGATAAGTGCACAATACTCATCCACAAACTCAAAGAACTGGAGAATATTTGGTTGGGAAATCATGATTTGTAAATATGAATATCAGCCTTATTGGAAGCAGTGCACAAATTTGGACGGCAATCACTGGCAAATTCTCTTATTCTGGTAGTATTTTAATGTTTATGTATTTAAGATGCTACTAAAAACAAACAAAGTGAAGACAGAGAGATGTATGGTAATATTGATGATATTTATTGTATATGATCACTTTATTCTATGGAAGTACACAGGCATTGAGGCGCTTGGCCCGCTGCCCGTTATCTTAGAGCGACACCTGATGGTGGGTACAGGTAGTCATCATCAGTGTCGCTTCTTCAAAATTCAGTACAGTTAAAAGGTTGCTGATTTAAAAAAAAAAAAAAAAAAAAAAAAAGGGGGAAACTGTAAGATAAGAAACGGCAACAAGATGAAGTAAGTAAATAATTACAGCAACCAGGGCCCCCGTAACAAACAAACAGAAAGATCAACATCAGTACCTTGTGTTGTTTTCATTAGATAATCTTTCTTATTCTATTTAACTGTGGAAAAAATGTTCTATCAACGGAATGTAAAAATAAACTAAATTGAACATAACACAATAAATATTCATTAATTATTTGTTATTAACCACCTGTTTATTAGGACGACCTGCATCACAAACCTTGACTTGCAGTTTCATCAGTATAAATACTTATATTTTTGCATTTGTGTACGTTCATAAAGTGGAAAAAATAGACCGTAAACATGGCGTAAACGTCGATGAAAATCTTCTGTAAAAAAATCTAGTAAGTGGTACAGATCAAAAGTGATTTAAATACTATTAAAACAAAATTAAACTACAAAAAAAAAGCTAAAGGAGGAACCGTTTTGTTTGGTAACCCCTTCAGGAGGCTGCGCAACCCGGCGCATGCGCGGAGGGAGGTCGATTTAGCGGTTGTTTCCTGCTTGCTGTTTCCACTCGAAGCAATGGCAGAAGTAAAAGCTTCCCTGGCTTGTGGAGGTATGTTCAGCTTTTGTATTTCCTGTATGAATAACAGTGGACCACACCCGCTATCCCAGCATCAGTTTAAAGGCCCCTTGCAGCTGCCGTTGGTGAAAATGCGGCTCAAACTGAAGCACAGTTAGCCGGAGGGGCGACAGCTTTAGCTGGTGATGCTTCAATCATGAGGTTTAATGCCGGGGAGGAAAAGAAACCCTAAAGCTGTAAAGCTTCACATTGAGATAAACACCTTGTCTGATTTCAGTGTTTTCTTTTACCGTCACAGTTATAGCGGCTTTCCTGAGTTCAGCGGTGCTTGCATTTGTTGAAGACCTAGATGACACGTAAGTGATGCACTACTATGTGCTTTTCCCCCTTCACTGATTCACCAATTCAGCTTCCTGCTACGGCAACTTCCGAGTTTAGAAATCATGCTCCGTGTGGATGCAAAGTGGCTCACTGCTCCTACGTCCTGTACTTTAGCAATGCTCTAAATCCTGTATGGTAAAAAGTGCCCACATTGCAGTGGTTGCATTAGCAGAAAAAAATACATGGTGGTAATGCTGATTTCCTCTCTTTCTAGTTGCACAGTGCTTTATTTATTTTAATTGGATGCCTGTGGTGAAAAGTCTCTGTAGATTATCTCTCTTGTGTGTAATAAGCCTGTCTTTGTATTGGAACATTTTTCATGATTTTGCCAATGACAATTTAAACATTAGCTCATCAATGGGCAGAGAGTAGTCTGCACGCCACAGGCTTTAATTGATTTTTTCAGGCCCCCAGATGTCAGCAGTTTAAATGTGAGAATATGATTCTTACGTTAAATATGACTTTGGATTGCTGTGGGGAGATTTACCCATATGGTATACTCACAGTCTTTTGTGGTATTTCATTTGATTTTATTATTCATTAATTTTAATGTGATTTATTTGATTGGCAGAACTTGTCATTTCTGTCTAGTCTCAGCTGAATGGTTACAACTATGTTTTTTCTCTATTCCATAGATTTAAAGACACCAGAGTGAATGACGTCTGGCTGGTTGATGTGAGTTTGACATTATGGACCCACACAAACACACACACTCTAATCTGGGTCCATTGAGCTATGGTTTACTTCATATCCAGCACGCCACTGTCTGAATCATCCCTTGCGGAAGCAATGGGAGTCTGGGTGGGATGTCATAAGGGAGGGGGTCGTGCAAACAGTCCCCTGTGATTAGTGAATGAGAAGTCATGCATGCACGGCAAAGCCGGGGGGCTCTGAGAGCTTTAAAGCAGGGTTTGTGTCGACACCCAAAGTAGCAAAAGTTGCTTTTGCTGCGCGTTATGGGCTCCATGGTGAATTGTGACATTAGTTTTATTTTTGTGTTGTTTTCTTATACTGATGAAATTGTTATATGTTGTGTAATTTGTGGAAACTAAGCTCCTAAAAAGAAATTCAAACAAACCAGACAATCACTGGAGCAAAAGGCTTTTACGTAAAATTAGTCAACAAGTTCTGCTTAACACTGAATCTTTGTCTTTTATTGCCATAATAACTGTTTTGTAATCCTTTTGGCTTTCGGTGGAGAAAGACCACTGTAACTGTTACCCATGGTCACATGTTAGGTTAGCCATTAAATCAACAATAAAGCACCAATGTGTAAAATTAGTACAGGAAAAATATGGTGTAACCGAAAAAGCCATAAAAATAACTTGCACAAGAGAGCAGATACAAACCAGTGTTTTAAGTATACAAAGAATCGTAACCAGTTACATAAGACATGTAATAGTCACACATATAATATAATAGACTTGTAATAACATTTCAATAAAGATGATGATTAAAAAACAGACAAAAACCAAACACTAAACGAGACCAGATAAAACAAGCCTTTAAAACACTACTTTTTGTTATTCATAAATTCAGACATACTTAACGTCCACTGATAAAGACAAACACGGTGTGTCATACCGGCTTCATAACTGCCTAACTTGTAAAATGCAATGGTACCTTAAATGGCCCTCTGGTTAAAGTGATGATTAAGAGCATGGGGAATCATACTTTCTCATGCTACTGTCTCACCTCTGTGTGAAGATCTTTTTGTGGTGGTGGAATAAGACGTGA